GTTAAATTGCAACTGTCTGGCTAATAGATTTTATAAAATAAAAAAGTAATAAATATAAATCTGCAAATGATTTTTAAAAAGTATTTAGTTTTTTATTTAAATTTAAATTGAGTGGTTTGGTTCGATAATACATAGAATCATTTGATTATATACATAGAATCAATATTTCCATTCAAAGTATTAACAATTTATAAGAGGCTTTATTATATCAATTTTTGTTTATATTACAAATATTTGTCTTTATTAATCTTTACACGTGTATATTCACACACACATACATATATACATATGTATATAAGGAGACATATTCAAGATGTATTGAAGATATATTGAATCTATTTATATTAACTTTAAACACATCCAATCTGAATTAAACACATCGCGTACGTACAAGATATTGATACTTTGAATTTTGTCGAGATCAATGATTCTATTTTATATGGGCTCTAAAAATTAAATATACTGCATCTGATAATTATTATATTTTGTGCCAGATTATCACAACAGGATTGAATGCTTGAACTCATTTAAAAAAATCTCATACAGTTGTAATCGCGAAATATCTCATGTAATACATATCCAGAAGTTCTTTTTACCTGACAACTTACTGCAACTGCAATTACAGGATATGCTGCAATTCTACCGTTGTCGCAAAAAAATATTATAAAAGGAAAGCCGCCTCCTTAAGGATGCGTTTAAATGCGGGCCTCGGAAAAAGCGATTCCCCTTTCTTCGGGATTGCTGTGCTTCTTTTAATTAATACCGAGAAAAAGGAAGACGACTGGCGTTCAGACTGGCGCGGAAAGACCGGCATTCGTCGGAATATTTCCCGCGCTCTTTTTACGGATTTTCTGGGTTTTAATTAGTTTTTTGTCCGGTTTGTTTATTCTTAATCCGTAGTGTCACGCGGAAAAACGTTTTGAGTTATTACTGCAAACTACGTGCATCTCGTCGGCGCTTGTCGCCATTGCACCTTTGCGAGGCTTAAATGTGATTAAAGCATCGTTTTCTGTAAAAATTAACTTAACCCGCGAAGTACCGCGCATTTCGTCCAGTATGTTGTTAAAACAAAGTGGTCAGCGTATGATTTTAATAAATGCAACAACGTTGGGAATTTCTCTCCTGTTGTAGTTTTCTCAGACTAATTATACGAGATGTCATTTAATCATAATATCTTTTATAGAGCACTGAATATTTTATATTTAGTTAGTAAAAAGAAAGGACAATTAATAAGAAGAAAAGAGTTATAAATCCACATAATTACAAACATTAAAAAATTTAATTCTTAATTAGATTATAGGATAGATATTATGACAAAATCGAATTTTCCAGAAAAAATTAAAAAAAATGTCCATTAACGGAAACTCGGAATTTATTTTAAATTTTAAAAATTCTATTATATTTCAAAAAGAAATATGATATTCTAGAAAACATCGTGTATTTTAAGTTCTATTTCTTTTGGTATAACTGAATTATTCACTAATTTATAGAATATTATAGATCACGATCATCTCATACATCTATTGTAAGTGTACCTCATTAAGTGTTAAATCATCATTGCGAGATTAAGGATATAATTATCACAAATATTAGGTATAATTAATTCAAATCAGAAAATCACATCATATTTATAAAGGCTGGCGATGTTAGATTTTTCGATCTCATCATTCAATAATTTCTATCGGCCATTATATGCTATTGCATCATCTAATCAATCAGATCGGTCGCGTAAATTTAAATCACTTAAAAGCTATCTTGTATTGCTTACTTGAACAAAATAAATCTATGCTAAAGATAAGAGAAGCGCAACATTTCTGAAAGATATTATATTATTTTATATAAGTATAGATATATAAATATAAAATATATTTTATAATTAATATTAAACAATTAAGTAATATAAACACATAAATTATATACAATTAATAAGTTTAATATTATAATAAACTCCATATTATGTCTGGAGCAATTTTCAATTATACATACCAGAAAGTAGTGCTGCATAAGGCGAATTTCTCAGCGCGTATTATGAGATATTCCGGGATTGCGATATATTTCTTTCATATGAGATTTCTTAAAAATAATGTAATACAGAGAAGTACATATATTTTCCTACTGAACAAAATATGAACTTTAATTTAAAAAAGAGCTTCACGTAGCTATCATTGCGATCATCGCGATAGGTTTTGAAAGGCGATAATAATGCCTTGTTAAAAGCTCGCGAAATAATGAGTCCCCACAGAGAGTGGAATATTAATCGACGTTCAGAGAGAATGGTCACGGGAAAAAACCGATGGATCTCCCGCAATTCTGCCAGCGATCTCGAATTAACGAGCCACGCTAACTCGCGATTTTTTACGAGTACAGTGTACATTACGACCCGGACGTCGTTGTGACGCAAACTGACCGATGCAACCGAGAATCGTGCTCCCGTAAAATCTGTCAACGGGAAAAATCGATTTTTAACACCGTCCAGGACTATTTTCGTCGAGGATATGTTATTTTTGCTCCCCCTTCATAAAAGTACTGTAAAAGACGGGGGGACGCGAGAAATGTTCAGATTAATGCTTCTAAAAATATCCATGAATTTTACCAATGACTTCTCTAATTTTCATCAAAATTACACAGAAGACAAATCTCGGGAGATTATTTGGGAAAGTGTAGACGATGATAAAAAACGGTACACATATTATTTATCATATCATTTCTTCATTCATCAATTTTTTTACAGCGTATCCTGTACAATCCGAATTTTTCGTAGCTTGAGCATTAGTTCGAATCTAAACTCGAAACTTTACTGAATATACATCTTATCTAACTAATTCTCGCAAATAGACAAACGTTTCGCGGGTTTCGGTTCACGAGTCAGGATCGTTTTTACGACGGCGTGTGAAAAAGTTGCCCGAGGCGTAGTGGATACACGCATGATTACGATAAATCTCAACGGGAGGCCAATTACTCGGGGGAGGGAGCAAAGTTAGCGGGACACGTTAATGGCTTTAAGTGAATGGTACAATAAATTGTGCTATCTACCGCTGTTTTATTTCGTTTGGCAATAAATCTAGCGGGAGGAGGGAGGTATAGAACGTATATATTTAACGTAGGCTCTCGTAAATTCTGGCAAAGGTAGCACTGAAAAATTTTCAAATCAGACATGTGAAAAATTGATCAATCTTTTAATTGGCGTAAATAAATTATTTATCTTGAGTCAAAATGATTGAAAATCTTGATTCTCATCACCATCCTGGTTTTCACACACAACCGTGTACTTATCGCGTTAACCCTTTAGCACATGTTTTCTGTCACTTTCTCCTTCTCTCTCTCTCTCTCTCTCTCTCTCTCTATCTATCTCTCTTCTTTTTTTAATACAGTCTAAACATGGCGTTTGTATGCGCACGATAAATACTTCAGCGAAACGCTCAAAGAGACATGGTCTCGTAGAACGTAATTCTCTCTCGGAACATTTCTCCTCTTCTCATCGGCAACACTTCTAGAGTCTCTCTCTCTCTCTCTCTCTCTCTCTCTCTCTCTCTCTCTCTCTCTCTCGCTCTCTCTTCATTCCTCTCTCCGTTGTTCTTTTTCCTTCTTCTTTCTACCCCGCTCTCCTTTTACCTATGCGTGCGATTTCGCGAAATAAAAACGACGTGCCAAGTCTCAGACGCTCCAAATTTGTCGTGACAAAAATACGCTTTATCGCACGCCGTCGAGCATCCAGACAGTACGGCAGAGGTAGACTTCTCTCCGGGTTTCTACCGCGGTCGCAGTGCCGGATTAAGGATGCCCGATGCACGTCCGGACGCACACGTTCCGCCAAAAAAGACCGCGATTATTACCGGATATTTATGCGTCGCGCGAGCGCAACATTAAATTACATTAACTCTCTTATGAGCTAACCCACGCTTTTAGGACCCGAAAAAAATTAATATGAGACGAAACAAGCGGAAAACTCGCTGCATGTGTGTGTTTTACGAAATACGCTCTCATTTGAACCGTTAATTTCTTGTACGCGTAGAATTCGACAACGAAAGATACGAAAATGCGAAACGGCGAAGATAGCGACAAACGATGTTTATAATTTAAGAGACGAGGAAACGGCTCGCGCATCGGAGAAAAACTCAAAGACGCGAAGGAGATTGGTAGAGGAAAAGTCGCGCTATAATTTATTTATCCGTACACCGAGCGAACGCCCGGACTTCTTAATCCCGCGGTGTGCCCACTCTTCGAACGTCTCGTCGCGGTTAGTTAACCGCGATCTTTAAATAGCCACGACGACGGCATAACATTATTTTTCCAAAGAAACGACGCATCGGGCCTGTCTCTCCTCGAAATCCCCGCTATCCCGTCGTCTCCGTCCGCGTCTCGCCCGCACTTTTGCAGACCGCCGAAGCGAAAGACCCCGTCGCGTGAATTCTGATACGACGCATACATTTAGTTAAATTAAGAAACTCACGTTTCACATACGTTGCCGAGAAAAATCCCGAGACGAAACGATAAATTTTGTCGCAGCGACACGATGGCCCGGTTAAGGTGGTGTCGTTAAGAATTAAGACAGTGATTAAATAAATGGTTATAGAAATATCAGATATGTCAATCTTACTGTTAAAAATATAACTCGCATAATTATATATAAAAATATCGATTTTTTTAAATCAATTCCGTTATTAACTCCGTTATTTTTTTAGTGCGAAGGTAATTTTTAAAATTAATCTAATGGAAAAGTACTTAACGAGGAGAGGAAAATGTTAAAATTGAGCAAATCAACAAAAAGACTAAATGACGAGTTATTTGTTATTTTAACTTTCGTCAGATATCGACTAATTGAAAATCAAGTAGCATCACTTTCTTGCTTTTCAGGAAAAACATATAATTATAACGTTTTTTTATAGCATACAATAAAAATATAAATATGTTCCTATTCTCCGTACTGTCTTTCTACTGCATATTTTGCAAAATATAATTGCATCTTCACTGGTTGATTTATTTGAATTTTTCTGTTGCAGATGCGCGGAGGGCTTCACGGGTCTGCGGTGCGAGACGAAGGACGTCAGCAGCACCGGAAGTGTGTATAATCGGCGTAGGGCACCCTTTTCCTGCAAGCTGGGACTCTCTACCTCGTACTACTGCTAGCGATAATCGCGCGGGGCCCTTTTTTTAACCATGAGTAGACCTTTTTCTACCCTCGCGGTGCACTGCGGTGTAGGAACCCACGAGACGACGAGAGTCGTGAGAGGGCCAACGCGCGACCAAAGAGGGAAGGGAAAATCGCATGAAACGGGAAGGAAGAGTAGGCGGATCAGGGATACACGGACGCGAGACGATTAGAACGAGGGAGAGAAATCGAGACAAAGAGTTATAAATGACGAATTTCGAATCCGTCGATCTCGGGCATTAGGACGGGTACTTTTATATAAGGGCAAGTTAGGTTCCAAATAGTTTGGACCGGGCATTCGTACCTTCTTCAATTTCTACGGCTAACGCTACTTATATACATCTTTTCCTTATTATTCTTCCTTCTCCTCTCTATTTGTTCTTTTACGTTTTTATTCTTAATATATTTTTATTCGTTCTTCTTCTTCTTCTTCTCTCGTGTGAATACTTCTATTTTCTTTCTACATCTTTCTGTTGTACTTCCTTTCCTTTTTAGTCTCTTTCCCACCTCCCTCTTTTCCTGTTTCTCTTCTTCGAGCGTTATTACCAGTACTTTCTTTCTAGAAAATGTCACTACGCGACGTACTCGCGTTTCCGCGGAAAGTTCTTTGGCGAGAGAAAGAGAGAATGGAAATGACAGAAAGAATGGGCGACGGGGTGCGAGAGATCATGAATGTGCAAATGAGCGTGTGCCGGCGTGTGAAAGAGGGAAGGAAAAAAAAGGAAGGAGACGCGTCGGTCTCTCGACTCTCCCCGATGCTCTTTTTCGGCGCGGTATCATCGGGGGAGAGCTCTCGAGAGCGACTATTCGTGAATTTGAATGGCGGTGCTTGACCTAGAGAAAAAAAAACACCGTCCAGAACCGACGACATGGAAGCGCGCCGTAAAGGCGGTTTGTGTCGCTACACTTCTCTCCGTAGTCTTCGCGAACGGGAGAACAATACCAAAGAGCCCAGGGTCTCGATCAAGGACGGGGCGCGACCACGACGATGGATTGTCCCCCTGTATAGGCGATCAGAATGATATAGAGGGTCCTCACTCCTCCTCTCGGTAAATTCTTTTCTCTTAAAGCCACGATCGACGTATATATATGTGTGACCTGAGTGGTCCAGAAGTATCGAACCTCGTCACTTGATAAGACCGCGCCGTGAAGCGACGTAGACGTGAGAAAAAAGTTCAGGGAAAAGTATAAGTTTTTGGCTTCGTAGATGACGGTCGTAATTTACAATTTCGATCCGTGAAGGCTCTCTTCTTAGGAATTAATAATCAGCTTGCAACAAAGAATGCGAGAAAACGAATGGAATGTTGAAAAGTTATTAATTATTTTCGAGAAAAACGGAGGGCCGCCTCCGTAAGTAGTTTCTACGGATCAAACTTGCATTTCGCCAAGCCGATTATCTTTCTCTTCGACCTTTTTTAACGACTTTATTATTCCACGGCTCGGTTTTATTGAAATCGCGGGTGGGCTAGGAAACTAAGCCGCGTTGCATGTTCGTCGCTGTTGGGAGACCGGCAAAATGTTCGAATAATGCAGTGAACGTTGAGAGAGGATCCTCAATCCATGAATTTTCCATCTTTCTGTTTCGAAGACACGAACAAACGCAGATAAAATATTAGTAAATATGTGCAAAATAATTGTTGGTTGGAAAAATGTCAAAGAGTTTCCAAGCACACATTCTTTCACAATATTATTAGCATAACACATTAGAATTATAATTCTAACGCCCATTAATGACATTTTAATGAAATTTAATATCTAGAGAATTAAATTTCTGACATATCAAATCACGAAAATATTTTCAATTATCATATAAATATGATTAATTGAGCATGATGATGAAATAATTAAAAATAAACCAGGTACAATAGTATCATTGTGACAACATTTCTCAATCGAAAAAAGTAAAGTCTTCACTGTGAGAATCAACGGCTTCCAACTGCGGCGACATCTTTGCAATAGCATTTCCGCAGTTTATTGAATCGCAAATTAGGCATTGCGTAGATAGAAAAATGGCGCGAAAGGAGGAGATGGAAATTTGCCAGTTAGCGAGCGAGTCGCGGAGGAGCGAGACCACAGGGCAAAAACGATTTAATGTAAAATACGATAGTGTAACGCATTAGGCTAGCTAAAAACAGAGATATAAGGTAGATAAAAGGGAGAGAAAGGGAGGGAGAGGAAAGCAAAATAAAACGGAAAGGGGGAAACTCGCGAGAGCGATGATGAAATCTCATCTCAATGTGGACAGAGACGCGGGACGGTCGGTCGAGAGGTTTTTGAGAGGTTTATAATAAAATCTGATCTCGAAAATGTTCTTCCGTCCTTGAAATGCACGATATGCGATGGAATACATTGACGGTGTATCCATTTATTTCCATTCGAATTTAAAAAAATCCTCACGAGAGGATGCCTGCGAAACGGAACGGTAATAACTAATAATATCGTGTCGATGAGACGGAGGTTGCGTCGGGCGAATTTTCGGAAAAATGTTATCAAGAGACCGGTAATGATCTCATCCGTCAGAAACCTTGGCGACGACGACCTCCCCGTGCGCGAGTGAAAACATAGTGGGTATACGGTAGAGGAGCGACGGATGCGCGCTGTGCTCCAGCAGTCTCGCGCGCGCGGGACCCTATTTATGTTTTATATTATATTATATATATATTATATATATATAAATATGTGTATAAACATTTTTAATTTATTTATTTAATTCATTAATTTTATTGATTTACGATTAAACGTCATCACCACCTCGGCAACCACCTTTGTTCTTAATCTTCTGTTGACCTTTCTGCACTCTCTTTCGTTTGCATCCCGCTTCTCACCTGACGACAACTGGATACGCCGGAAGAACGCTCGAAATCTTTCGCCTCTAATTAGTCTGATTTCTGATTCTCTAAATACAAAAGTAGAACGGAACGGGACACATAATCTCGGTAATTAAATTTTAAGGCAGAAAAACCTAGGTATCGGATGAACGCGTTTTTATGTTTCGAAATCAAAAGATATATTTTTAATCATGTAAATATTTTTAATCTTGCTTTTTCTTTTAATCTTGTAAATCGTACATCTCAAACATCACATTTTTCGTGATAATATTTATATATCATATTTTTAATAAAAAATATAATATAAGAAAATAATGTTTGCAAATGAAAAGTAAAAAAAGTAGAGATGTCTAAAATTATACGATCTAGTTTCAATATATAATTCGTTAGCCATTTTCTCTTTTAATATCCTTATTTGTAAATAAATATTTTCACAAATAAAAATCTTCATCGTATATTAGTGGCGAAAGTTTTTATCGGCTCTTCTGCTGCCTTCAAACACAGGTAGGGGCATTTTTTATTTTCTCATTCTAATTTGTTCACGTTTTAATTTGCGTTTATCATCATTTAAACATTTTAAACATTAATTTGCATATCATTTTAATTTTCTTAAATTGACTCGTCGACGCCGACGCGGAAATTTTGGACGCAAAACATACATGTCATAAGATTTCTCAACTAGTTCGTTTCGCGCACAACATTACGAGCACATTTGCATCACGGCGTCGTAATATTAATTATACGATGGGGTTTTTCTTTAACATCTGCAAATCATACTTACACGGAGGAAATGCGTAACAGCGAGTGTTACAAAGACATATATATCACAAATAAAAAACAATATATTTATGTGGGGATAATATAAATGAGAAATGAGACAAACTCTTATAGAAGAAAATAACCGAATAGTTTGAAATAAAAGCGGAAACGAATTTTACTAATGATACGTTGCTTCCGTGTCGCAAAGTATTTATGTCATATTGATCGTTCTCGTCACACATTTGCAGAAGATAAGATTTCCGTCGTGAAAAATGTTTTGGGACAGGACAGAAACTCCAAGGGAATACATGAGAGAAATTTTCATACTTGAGGCATGACTCGTTGCTTCTTTCAGCATCTTATTGCATCCCGACGAGTCGTTTTGGGACAAGTCACTCCTCGTTTCGAGGAAATAGCTCTCCGAGTATCTTCTTGCGGAAAACCGGGGAGCGATGCGTAAATACGCAAGGAGACGACATAAATTTCCAAATCGTCAAAGGATAACCATAAGAGGGTGAAAATTGATGGGAACGGAAACACGAGCGGGGAGAAAACGGCATGTACATTTATTCACGTTTAGCTGGTGATAAAGCGAAGCGACAGCTCAATTCGTAAGACGGAAAAATATGAAAAATAAAATTGTACTGTGATTGAACGAATCACAGTAAGTGTAAACTTACAAGTATATATATATATAAAAGCTCGATGAAGAAAGAAGAAAAATGGAACATAAAAAAATTAATATAATTATTCTAACGCGATCTAGATACAAGATTGACGTATTTCTAATAAAAAATTAAAAGATATAACTTAAGCAACGCTTAATTTTCAATCATTTATAATTGAAAGAAATTGAATTAAAATATGATTGAAATATTTCTTGATACGTTATTTTGGGAAAGTAGAATGATTATAAATTTAAACACAATTAATACTTTTGTAAATTTAATAATTTATAAAAATTAAATTTTTTCAGTTTTTAAAATATCCTATACTTACAATGAATAAGATGGATCAATGCAACGGTTATATCAGGACGGTTATATCCTATACTTAATTAATTACAAGCATACTGTTGATAAAAATGTGATAGAAATCCGCATCATATCGATTTTGTTATATAATTAAATTAACTATCTCGATTAGAAAGTAGATCGAAAGAAAGGGAGAAATGGAGAGAAAGTGGAGAAACACAGGCTAGGCGAGGAATAAACTATAGACGAATACACGAATATTCACTCTCAATCCTGGCGATGTATTTCGCTAGCGCGTCCCTTCATAAAAAACTCTCTCTGTATAGTCCATAAAGTTCGGACTGCCCCTACAGCGATCCTCGTAAACGCTTCTCTTAATCGAACTTCGTGCCCCGGAAGCAACTTTCTTCGGTGGGAGATGGCGAGGGAGGCCTGAGAAGGATCGTGTTATCGGTAGAAACTTATCGAAAATGCGGGCTCGTCCTA